ACTCCTTTTTATGAAGTACGATTTCATAATTTCTTATGGGTATATTTTATTACTAAACGTGTACAGTTTCAATATCGATATTTGTGTTGGAATAGTTTGGTTCCTCCTGAACAAAACACCACGAAAATACATTGTCCTTACCCACAGCTAATTCTCACCAAGTGACCTGAGTAACAACAAACTAGAGCTAAGCATAGCGGAGTTATGTCCCCTTTTCTTTGTACGCGTGAAACCTCTCTGTCACCTTTTGACGTCGTAGAGAAAAAGCAGTTTTCGTCATTTACGGCATGCTATTTTTGGAATTGAATGTATGTCGTTATACAAACGCATATAACTCCGTTTGATATGTAGTTATGTCCTTCAGATATTAGGCAGTATTTTGTTCGCTCACAGTTTCCGTAAAGCTTCTTTATTTAAAAAAATTGTCGCACAGTACTTTTATCGGTGTACGATAAAAAGCGGAGAAATTTACTGTTTTTCCTTGCAGAATATACTCTCGGACAACACTTAGGAGGGTCTTTTTTTGTAAACCGGTTTGATATTTACAGTTAAATTTACACTATCAAATAGGAAATTTAATATTCTTCATCTCTGCGTAATTTTATAGCCAGAGGTAGATCCAGTGCCGCGTGAGCGCAATTCTCGCGCAACCTTCACTTTTCCGATCTTAGGAAAATGTGCGTCAGAAAAAAAACTCGGCATCCAGAGGGTTAATCCCATCCTGACCTCCTCCAGTTTGAAAGCGAGGCTTGGAGAGCAGAAGGTGAAGGCTGGATAGCACATGATTGATATGTTGATATAATGTATCAAATTGTAACCTACTGAGAATTTACAATGGTAACAAATCAGAATTTTGCATCAGTTGCGTATTCGATGTAAATTGTAATGGACTCAAATGCATTCCAATAAAATATTACACCTCTCGATCTACTTGTGCTGTTGTGATTGTGAACAGTTGATATTTTGATTGTCAATGTTGACAGATTAGGTAGCATGAGGTGTAATATTTCAACTGAATTATTACATAAAGGGTGTGTAAATATTTAAAGTAGAGTACAGTTTGATCTGCAATTTTGGTAACAATTAATATTTCTACCAAAATGATATTTACTTTACTGTACCAATTTAATCATGTCATGAAATGAACAAAAAAACCAACTAATTAATGTCCAGTAAATGTTCAATCTACATGTGATCTTTATATAATTTACAGAAACAGATAACTCTTTAACAGTTTGTATTCAAATATTTCAAATGCATAAATTGATATTGACATTACTAAAATTTTAAAGTATCAAAAGAATTATTTTTAATTCCCATGCGTATTGCAATCATAACTCATTTATTCCCTTTGTTTAATTGTGAAACCCATCTGGTTTTATGTCCACAAACATGTTTCGAAACTTTTAAAACAAAAAGATTTCTTTTGTGCAAGCAATTGCCATGTATTATTGATTATTAATCATATCAATTTATATATAAGAATATAGTTGTGCTTACTGCGTCATTTTGCAATAATTATATTGTTATGGTGTAATATTTTACTATTGTTAACAATCTTTAGAACTTTAGTTTATTTCAATCAAGTCAAGTGGTGTGATCATTTTGATATTTTTTTATAATTCAATCAAAACGAGAAAAATAAAAAAATATAAATACTTAGAAGAAATTTGTTTTCCTTGTCAAATAACGATGATAGCATGAATTTATCTCATGCTCCTTGTATAGCATGCTCCTTGTGAAAATTCATTCCATTTCTTCTTCGAATGTACTTTATATGATGATTTTAGGGACACATTACTGACAGCTATCGATAATCTTGGAGGACAAAAAACTCTACATAGTATTCTTTTTGGTGATCCAAACTTAGATGTTTTCCTGAATACAAAAATATTCTTGTCTGTACACAAATTTATAGAAACGACTAACAGATTCAGTAGCTAGCATATTATTGTTTCCAAACTGTTATTCATTAATATTGTTAAATCTATATTCTACACTAAAATGTATAATATTAGGATATGTATGAGATGCACACTGTCTTCACTTTCCAGCACATTGTGCATATCCTTCATATGAGAACTGTATATATATTGCGCATTATGTTTCCGCAATGTGAAGCTTCAACTGTAAATTGTTCATTTTCATTATGCAATATTATGTATAACTGTATATAGGGAGAAGGCGGTAATAAGTGCTGCCGTTTGTCTTTTTGGACAATAAAATATGTTTAATAATATTTCATCTTGTGATCTGACAAAGTTAATATTTTCAAGTCAAGATATCAACTTTAGTAAACCACATGAAGGGATAAACATTGCATTTGACAAAATAAATTCAAGTCTTATATTTTCTTTGTGATCTTCATGACCTTACTCAGAAAACCATAGTGTCAATGAGGCAGACTGACTGTAGGTGTGACAAAACGTGATATTTCACCTGATTTTCACTCCAGCGAAAGTATGTTTTCAACATGGTCAGAGTAAACAAAGTATTTCATGATTAAATACATACCGGTAATACAAATATCAAAACGTGTTTCATTAAAACAAGAGTGAATTTCTGTGTGACATTGATATAAAGAGCTGTAGTACACTGTCATTAAATTGATGCATCTGTTGAGTTTACTGTTTACAAAGAATATACAGTTTGTGTTTTCGACATATCAGATGAATTGATTCCTTCAAGATTGTTCTTAAGTAGCATGTAATGTTACACACTGTGATTAATTTTCCTTAAACTTCTCTATTTCAGAAGAATGTTGTTTTCTAAATAAGCAATATTTTGAGAGAAGGTGAATATGCAATGTTTATAAAAAAATGTTATTGAAGTAGGAATATTATTACAATATTATTGAATTATTCATTTCAGGCAAGCGATTCAACACAATGAAGTAATAGTATCCGGTGACGGATGTCTGGTGGAGCTTTCTGCTGACAGTAACACAATGGTTACAATGTGCGGCCTGTCAAAGGACGAGGAAGTGAAAACCCATAATCATTTAATCAACAAATGTGCTTCCTGTCACATTTCACTTAAATAGAACGAGGAAGTGAAAAGCCTTATTCACTCACAAATCAACATGGCCAATATTTATCGGACACTGAAAAAGCACATTGTACCATTTGTTTTCTCCTGGAATTTATTAGGTGCTTTTGACTGACAAAGACACCCAGTCCATGTTAAGTTTTGAAAACTTATATTGTGAGAAATAAAGATATGAAAATTTTGGTTTGTTTTTCTTTGTTAAATATGAGAAACCAGATTGTTCCATCAACATAATTTGTACGGATACATATATTTTATCTTGGCTTGATTACCAGTTGAAGTTGATTCCTTTTTATCTTTTGTTATTTTATCTGTACTCATATCTGATCAAGACATTTTCAAACTATTCAGGATAAATGTATTCGTAGCTTCCTTTTGATATACAATTACCTATCATCATACAGGATTAGGTGAGGGTGTTCAAGAAGTTGGTAGTTGTATCAATTCTTATATTTCTTCAATTTCATACATTATGTATATTTATCAATTTTTAGTTTCCTTTTAACTTATTTTAAACAGTTCACACATTATTACTTTTGTCGTGCACGGTGCAATCTCAATCAGCAATAATCAGTTAAGTAAGTGATGTTTGAAAGTATCATCTGTCATTGTACACACTGAATAGAGTTATCGCCCCTTCTGAAAATTTATTTTGACACACGAATTATTTTCATAATTAACATTGTAATATGTTAAAATGAAAATCTTAGCAGAAAAATTGTCTTTTGTCAACTGAACTCATGGCAAAACGATAGTGCATTGTGCAGCAAACACCACTATGAAACATGAAATAAACATGCATGATCTCAATCTTGATCTAGAGTTAGCCAAGCCACGCATTGACTGAGCAATTTTGCAAAAGTACACTGACGTGTTTCATGTTATGCGGTTTATTTACGATACAAAACTTCTGTCATTGAATGTACTGTCACATTGTACCTATATGCCGACGAGGTTATGATAAAACAATCTAATTCTGAAATACGTATCTCGAAATGCACCTTTCGATTCACTTCCGGGATCCTGACAGCAAAATGCTAATTCCAGTGTATTACAGGCATATTTTATTTGGACCTCATGATTTAATGTGAATTATCTTCTGTATTAGATACAGAGGATACCATTTTTTGTTTGTTTAAAATGTCCATCAGTGAAATGCACAACATGCTGTCTGTTCCCTATGAGCTGATGCGACTCTCACTGCATGGAGCTATGCTCTCCAAGCCTCGTTTTCGATCCAAGATGGCGAAAGTGTGAAAAAGGTCAATAGGATGGAGGTTTGTAAATAATTGAGTCTGGACCAGACAATCCTGTGATTAACATCATGAGCATCCGTCCACGCATTAGGGATACGATGACATGCATCAACCAAGTCAGCGAGCCTGACCACCCGATCCCGTTTGTCGCCTCTTACGATAAGCATAGTCGCCTTTTACGACAAGCATGGGTTGCTGAAGACCTATTCTAACCCGGATCTTCACGGGCAGGTGTCATCACTGATTTTCAGGGATCCATTCAGGTTATTTTTACTACCGCCATTTTGCTTATGCCAATGGGAATCTGTTTCGTCTGATTCTCTGGCATCGACGTTTTGTATTTCCTTGTAACTGAGACTACGATTCCCTGATTCTTCATTATCATTCTATTTCAAACCACAAGGAAACACATACCACTTCTGAAAAACAAAAGAAACCCCAGACGATTAGAAAAAAATAGAAACCGATAAAATGTTTTGAAAGCCAACTGTGCTTTCAATATTTATCACAATATCACGACCCCATTTAATAGTAACAGAGTCACAAATACGTCCCTTTAACACCAATGGTGAAGATTCATTCTTCTTTTTAATTTAAGTTCTGTCTTTCCGATATACTTTTCATTGCATCCACTACAAACAATCAAGTAAATAACATTTCTAGTATCACATATATATATATAAATCGTCTGCATGAAATTTTATTTAACGATTTTGATACATTGAGTTATTTATAATTGCTTACATGAACCATTTGTTTTCAGGAGATTTTATGTCAACCACAGAAATCTTTTATCCTGTAGTATATTTGCCAAATCCTGCTTGTATCTGCTGAAAAAATTGTCCAGCAGAACACGTGTCTTTTCAAGCATAGGACCCTGTTTTATCTTCTTCTGAGATACCCGCTGATGAGGCACATTGGCGATAAAACTCAACCAATCTTCAGTATAATCTGAAATACAGTGTAACTTGATATGATTTATGATGCAGGAGGAATATGTGCATATGTATTGGAGGTGTTAAATCTCAATCATAAAACAGGAATGCGTTATACTTCCTTTTCTGGTAGTCCATGGCTGCGTTTATTAACTCAGAATGAAAACAGTATATTATATCACACGTATGTGTACCAGTATGACCAGACAGAAAAGGGTCTAGATTGCTGGGGTCTGAAAGTTAAAAATCTGTTATTTTCCTTTGGATATGGTAAAATTTGGAATAGACAATCAGTTTCTTGTATCCATTCATTTATATCCGCTTTTAGAACAAGATGTATTGATATTGATAACCAGTGTCTCTTTGAATCTTTGACAAATTATCTTCATTATATTTGTATAAAACAATTAAGCTATCAAATGAATATGAAAATTATTTAAGTGTTGTGAAAATTGCTGCATTTATGATTATTCTCTCACAGTTTCGCACGTCGAGCAGTGATCTTATGGTATCACAGGGTAGAAAGTTAGGTATTCCAAAGTGTGAAAGACTTTGTCCATTTTGTATCATTCCAAGTGTAGAAACAGAATACCATGTTTGTTTAGTTTGTCCGTTTTATGACGATCTTAGAAGAAACTTTCCGCCAAGTTATTATTATACATCTCCATCAGAGCATAAATGTAAGGTTTTATTTACCACCAGTAATGCTTTCACAATCAATAATCTTGCCAAGTTTACATTCTTTGCTCTTAAAATGAGGAGCAAGCAGTTGTCCATTATATAAACTACTAATTCTACCACCATATGTATATGGTCTCAGATACCCTTGTACGGATTAGTATTGATATTACTACATGCACTTGTGGCGCAACATGTTTGAATGCTTGAATATATATATTGTAAAATGGGCCTGTGGCCTGATTTACTGAAATAAACCACTACTACTACTATTGGTAGTCCATGAGCCAGACCAGAAATTGGTACCTCCTGGGGACTATTTTAAAGTCATATACCCAGAGATGAAAACAACACTTTGAAAGCAATCGGGGATTCACAGCTTAGTGGTAGTAATCACCATATATAGGGGGACCCCTGAGCGGAACCCACGGGACCAGATTTCGGGGTAAGGGAGCTAGAAAGTGGAATAACTTTACAAGCAATAGTCGTATGGTGAAGTGCAAAGTGCTTCATAGAAGGTCTCCTGGCATATGTCTTGTGAAAACGTATTGATCATCTCTTTTATCTTTTTGGAGGCTTTCCATCAGTTAAACCCATTCCACACACGCCATAGCAGTGCCTCCGAGAGCAATTTGCTGAATCCAACTGCACAGTTGTATCTTCGACCATTAAGTACACCTTCAACAGTACCTTCAGCGATCACTCCAGATTCTATGCAGAGGTCTCTTAACCCAGATTCCCGAAAGTGCTTTTCTACCACACCTAACATTGTGTGCTCTGTGTGAAATACGCCTAACCTAGGGACGATTCAGAGAATAGCGTCTTCTGTTTCCAAAGGTTTTCAGTGGCCTTTACATACAATGCTTGGTCGCAAACCAAAACAATGTTCCCAAGGGCTAGTGACGTTCTGATCTTCTAGGACTGACACAAAACATCATGTACAGTGAGTGGAACGCCAATCAGAACTTTATCATGGACCTGAATATTGAACTCCTTCATGCTACTCACAGGTTTGCTGAACAATGCAACCGAGTTATCATCCATAGTAGGGTTTTCTTGTACACCTCCTGTTTCTGTTCCAGGCCATCTACTTCAATGAATCACGAGGTGGCGGACCATCTCGTACATAAGCATTGTAGCTAGGAAGCTGCGACTTGATAGTTCTCTGCTTCTGTGTTGGTTCATTCTGGACATCCTTGAAATGCTGTGGACCAAACACCTTTTGCTGCACGTAGATTCCATTCACTTAGTGTGATGTCCCTCCTCGATCTAGTGTCTCTTCAATTCAGTCGATGTTATCAAACGCCAATGTTACTTGGACATTTGGTTGTATGCATAATGGTAGTGTAACACTTTCTTCTCTCGGTGTCAATCTCTTCAATTTGAGAGTATGAAACGCCACGTCCAATTAGGTTCAGAATGCGAATTAGTTCCACACACCCGTTGAGTAATTTCCCAACATATGGCATCAGGATTTGTTTTTGGGGTTTCATCTTGACACATGTTTTACCATAAACAATGTCCTACCCTATAGTCATCGCTATATGGCTGAAATATTTGCCGATGTGACGTAAAATTTTAACTCACTCACTCACTTACCCTATGGAGTCTGTGAATATGGTCTGATACAAGAAATAATGTGTCAGTGTCTCAAGTTTAAAGTATTTTCAAAAAGAAGGTTACTGATGCAGGAAAGTAGGCAGATGCATTTTTCATGTATGTTGGTACTGGTGGCCAAGGAATTTTAACATCTTACCCCTTGACTTCATTTCTAAGCATAACAAATACATTCATCATCATTATATCAAAATGAGAAGTGTCTTGCTTGGCAGCTAGGAGCTGTTCCTTCAACTTCTGGTTTTCTTTGACCAGCTCAGTCAATGTTTAGTTGTCAGGATAATCCAAAGGTTTGCTTTTCTCATCAGGTATCATATGGATATTCTTCAATTTGAGTATATGTTTGGTCAAGGTTGCAAGAAACAGAGTCTGTGGCAGCTGTGGCGTCTTTCCAAGCATAGTTTATAGCCAGAGCGATGGAAATCTCCTTCGGCAGCGACTTTAAACACATTAACTGCTCCCTTTTGAAAAATGATAGATGAGAGTTATATCTCTTGAAAAGCATCTTGAAAGATTATGTAAACTTTCCTATATGTTAAGGAGAGTTAAATATTAGCAATTGTTTTTCTTCATACCAAAAAGTCTATACTCTCATAATGCTTTTGGCTAACATCCCTGTTCTTGTTCTCATGAGGAGGCCATTGAAAGGGAGCAGTCATTGTTTCAAATTGAACTTTAGTACAAAACATTAAGTTTGTCTTTTATTTTGCAAAATAAAGGTCCAGATGCGTCCCTTCTTATTCGTATTCAACATATATGTGAAAAAGTTATATTTTGTAATATATTCAGGTTTAAACCAAGTTCATATATGGAACTAGATGGCATTCTTCTTGGATTGCTGGTAACCAAATTACATCAAATTTAACTTAACCCACATATGAATACATATAGGACATGACTATTAGCAATATGAGTATTTTTTCTTATCAGAACATAATGACAAATTTCAGGAAGTCCAACTTCATAAAATCGTGTATGCTATTAGCACAAAATGACATTTGTCTTAAAAGGCATCAAAACCCGTTCTGTACACACCACTAAAGACAATACATTTCACTTTTTCAGACTTTTAACAGACTTGAGTACTTCCTGGCTTCAATCATTTGGGTTAACAAAGTCCCATTGGTGTGGTGTCTGCAGTGTATTTTCTGACAGGTGGTAATAATTTAAGCAGGGGTCAAATTTCGTGATCTTTGGTGACTTCATTGTTACATTATTTCTGTATTAGCGATACGACTATTGCTTGTAAAGTTATTCCACTTTCTAGTTTCCCTTACCCCGAAATCTGTTCCCGTGGATTCGACTCAGGGGTTCCCCTTTATGAGGTGATTACTACCACTAAGCCGTGAGTCCTGGATTGCTTTCAAAGGTGTTTTTTTCATCTATGGATACGTGACTTTCAAAAAATCATACTGAGATTTTGCCACCCCAGGTGGTACCACTTTATAAAATTTTGGGGTCTGGCTCATGGACTATTTCTGTCTCTGGCTTTATGGTGGAAAAACATATTTAGGGAAAGGTAAAGAAAGAGAGAAAAACTCACTCAGTTTCAGATAGTTGTACACTTTTCTTAACTGAGATTTTGGATCTTGATCGTGGTCCTCTGTTCGCAAGATAAGGAATTGCTGTCTAGGAAAAACCTTCAGCCATTCTCGCATGTACACTGAATAGCACCCTAAGAAAATCCGAGTCTGTGAATAAAGAATAGCCATTGTAATATGCAATAACATTTCGTCAGTTGTGAGAATGTGATTCAAGCGTATGTAATAACAAACTTTTCCTACCCGAAGTGTTCGTGCTATCTCCAGGCTGTACAGACATTGTTCCACCGTGTGGTTCTTCATGCAGGTCTCCTCGGTCTTGATATCTCTTGTCACAGCTTCGTGGAAATCCTCAGCTGATCTTCCGCCCTTCATCGTGTAGTCAGAATATAACCTGCAATCATATTAAATGCATACATAGGTAAAGTTCAACTTTATTCAGTGATGAGTAGTGGGGACGTTATAACTAGCTAACTTGTATTAAATAAAAGCGACAAAACCTTGTTTCATAGTCAAAGAACATGGCATAATACGCTTGGATAGGATTTCCAAGTTCTATGAACTCTTAGATATATCGTGGTATTTGAACAGAGATGTTATAAGATTACACTTAATGAAGTAACAAAGCATTTGCATATTTGCATAATCATGGCATTGTTCTTTATCACTATCAAACAGTGATGTACCAGGAGGCATTATATATATAAAACGATTTCAACATGTTTCCAAACTGTATACGAAGCCTTTATGCAGTTTCAGTTGAAAATGAGTAAACCGTTCAGTAATTGTAGACTTCAAAGAAAAAATAATAACTACAAACTTAGTGTTCATAAGTGAAGGACACGTTCAAATATTTCAGTGAAGAAGTATTAAACATTTTGACAATTTTCCAAACCTTATTTTCGATAGTTGCCTTTTTGAAATTGGGTGACCTTGAACCTTCACAAAAATCCAATAATGACCATAGAATGTCTGTGAAGAGTAATGTGAACGTAGTTTCGGGATTTCCCTTGTCTAAAATATCAAATTAATTTGGTCATAAGATGTTTATACGCGCATTTTGTAGTGTTCACCTTGACCTTCAAAATTATCAACTCATACACCAGAAATACCAGGGTTGATATCAGTATACACGCTTTTAAAGTACTGTGAACATGTAATAGACACAGCTGCGTAGAATCAAATAATTTCTCTCATCCTGCCAATGCGACCATTTCCCCAAAACTCATTTATCTTTCTTCTGACTGTTACAAAAGTAACCAAGGTTTTGCGCACACACAACATACATACAGTGTGTAGATACCTTTCAGTTGGATTTCTGAAGATGAGAATGAACTTCGGATCTGTATACACATGTCTCATAAGATGGGGTGTCATTACCACTGGTTTCTCTAAACCTACATTTTGAGGTATTTTTGGCCATCCTCGGAAATCGCTAAAATCTAATGGAGTTTCGTCACCTAGACGAATAAAGATAAAAATAAAGGAATATAATGCAATTATTTAACAGCAATTTGGTCTCATTGCAATTTAATGAATTTAACATTAACAATCAAAATACAATTGTAGCACAGGTCATACGTTAAACAAAATCGATTGAAGGTGGGAGTAGATTAAGTCAAATGATATAATTTTATTCAAATCGTTATTTCTGTAACGGACGAGGCAGTGGGATTCTCTGCCTAGGTAAATTTTTCCTTTTTTGCGTCCCCTGTGACCTATCGTGAGATGGTTGGAATTTTCAATTTGTCCAATGATTAATGAAAAATAGTCTAGTATACTTACCTGTAATCATATTGTGAGAGCCTGTTTCTGTAGTTGTCTGTTCTATCTTTTGCGCAGCGTGAGCAAACATATGTTGAAAGCAGCTGAAGTTGCAGGGTGTCCTCTCTTTCATGGAATATTCATAACCTGTGGAAATGTCAGCGATTTGAAACATCAATGATTTATTCTCTTTAAGTTGCATTTTCCATCGTGTCAACAACTGCTACTTATATTAATTGGTTTACTCTTGCTTTCTTCTGTCTTGGCAATTCAGACTGATAACGTTATTGCAGACTGTTTCATGTATTATACACACGACCTTGTATAATATACTGACGAGCAACAACAACTATACCCAAATCAAAATTATTAGAATTTGGATTCGAACACGAAACAATGTTCCCAGGTCATGTAACTTGTAGAAAAGCAACGGACATATGTGCAACTGAAAAAAGCTTGCTTTAGGTCACTGAAGTCCATGTTGATGACTGTTAAGCGAAAACGGGAATGAAGGCGTAGCATGATCACAGGATGCATATGAGTACAAAACAGCTTACAAAAGCTTAATAAAACATAGACAGCAACATGTTATGCAGAACAGAGATTTGGGTCATTGGTCACTGGGAGCCATACATGACACCGTCGACAGCTACTTGCAACTATTACCAGGTTGGCATCACGAAAAAGGACATAGTGGACAAACCCAGGACAGGCAGACCACGTGTCACCACACACAACGAAGATCGTTATTTGCATCTCCATCATTTAAAGCAGCACTTGTGGTAGGAACTACCGCACTTTCAGTGGGCGGAGCTTATACGAGTGATCTGACAGGTCAATATGACGTCATGATAACACACATGTAATGCGTACACGGGTGACAACATGTAAAGACACACATGGGTGGGCCGTTTGACAAGGACGTTAGTTTTAATGGAAATAAATATCCATCAAAAGATTCTAAAGACAATGAACGAGAACGAAATACGTTTGTCGTGATGAATAAGAGCAGTGTTAATATGTATCACGGCAAAAAACGAAGTTGTGTGGTGTACGGCCGGTATAATTGCAGTTTATGAATAGCATTCTCAAAATATCCACGGCAATCGGTGATTTCAACACCGTCGTGTTCGTCTTGCCTACATCTGGAATCTGGATGACAATGATCGTAAAAATCTTGGTAATGGTCAAAATGTTTTCAAGTGATGAAAGTAGGTTTTTGTTATTTCCGTCACATGTTTTCATTGCCCAGTAGCAATGTATTTTGGCAGAGTCACACTTGTCAGAAAGCTCACTTTGTGAAACTTCGCGGGTCCCCGTGTCCCAGATTTTAATTCCCTGTTGATTCCATTTGTGGCATGCGAAGTATTTTTTGCATATCGCATACCATATTTTTCGCATGTGTTTCTAATCTCCAGAGCGGGCTGATATAAAATATAAAATTAAAAAAATATGTCTTTTTATGATAATACTATTTTATGGCATTTTTTATGAAGTTTAAAACACTTTGTACTAGTCTATAAATTGATTTATGCTGTATACCGAGTCGCTTTGCTTCGGAAACGAATTTTTTAATGAACAGCTGAAGAAGGGTTAGGTGGACCTGATTCTTTTATGACGGTGCTATGGTAGTAGTAATTTTGTTTATTAGATCGGTGCACAATTTGCCACAATGGTAACGAAACGATGTTCAGATAAAAAATTGTTCACACTATTCCTGTCATGCATGTGAACATTGATTTGAACATTATTTTCATTACGATTAATCATGTCGCTTGCTACACGGATCTCTTGCAACTACTTCGGTATGTACACATTTTCTGGTCTTGGAGCTCAAAGCAAACATGCATTTTTTCTCTATCCATGACGATAAAATAATCGAGTCTGGACCAGACAATCCAGTGATTAATATCACGAGCATCGATCCACGCAATTTGGATCGATGACATGCATCAACCAAGTTTTTAGTCTTTAGTCTCCGAAATAATTTTCAAAATTACATACCTACAAAATAGAAAAATATGATCCAAATGGAGTCCAGAAAAATGCTTAATACCTTAGAACTGAGGCAATCGAGACTTGACTTCTTTGTATTCTCTAGGTTCTGGAGGACAGACTAGACAAGGCTTTGGTTTTGGTTTGGTTTGTCGTTTAACGCCGCACTCAGCAATATTCCAGCTATATGACGGCGGTCTGTAAATAATCGAGTCTGGACCAAACAATCCTGTGATTAACATCATTAGCATCGATCCACGTAATTGGGATCGATGACATGCATCAACCAAGTCAGCGAGCCTGACCACCCGATCCCGTTCGTCGCCTCTTACGACAAGCATAGTCGCCTTTTACGGCAAGCATGGGTTGCTGAAGACCTATTCTAACCCGAATCTTCACGGGTCGCCTAGACAAGGCGTGAAATGTGGAAATTGACAAGACAATACGTAAAATGTGGAAATAATGAGGGAGCAATTCATTGTAAGAACATGGTCATAAAAATATTGTGTATCAAAACAAACAGGTCGTGTCTCCGACATATTTATTAGGCCAGGTGATTTAGAAATGGCTTAAGGTTTGTTCTTTTGCACTTTCGTTTTGAAATTAAGTTCCTTTCATTCTCAGTGTTATGGAACACGACCAGGAATATACGAATTAACGTATGACAGTGAAACCAATAGACCAATATGTAACTCTTCATGTGAATTATTGCTCTGTTTTGTGCAACATAATGGAAATTTTCGTAAATAATAATTCTTCCTCTGACATTTGTCTTTGGTGTAAAACCATGTTCTATATGGTACAGTATATTTCGAAATACGCTGGGAGTAAACATGTACACACAGTGTATGTACCTAATTTATGTCCCCTTATTGATCATTTATGGGCACCACTTTCTACCTTGATTTATTTACAGCTACGAAGTATCACTTCCTACAGAGTATCCACTGTGTGCGTAATTCTTGTCCCATAACTACCTGGTATAAATACATTGTGGTATCTGGGACTCTTTGGGCACTCGACCATATCAACACTTGATGTGAGGAGGGAGCAAACACACTTGGAAGACTGCAACTACCCATTTGTAAGTGTGCTTAAATTCCTTTTCAGTCGTTCACTCATCCGTACACAATTACAGTGGTATTAACGTAATGACAGCATTACCATATCTTCCGTGGGACCAGTAAAAACTTTCCTTTTCTCCGAGACAATTATTGCATCCGAGGACGTCTTCATGGGCCCTTATGCGGTAGGCGAGGTCGGTGGTCCCCGATTTGCACACCCCCAGAAGATGGAAGTAAGGCACACACTTCAGGCGTAACTCCCCGTTCTCTTTTGCGTACCAGCAGGGGTTCTTAAAGTCTGGCAGATATTGGGGTCTTTCCTGTGATATAAGTATTAAAAAACATAAATGAAGTGCTGTTTTGTAACATGAAAGGCGATATCCTCTTCGTGAATTCTCAGCTTATAAGACTGTGAACATTGAAAACCAAGTAACATTACAAATCTGAATCACATACATTGTTTTTATTCTTCGGCCTATCAACAAGATTTTCTTCAAAATCACCAACTGCACTTTATTCCGACTACAAATATAATTATAATCTACACAGTCTCAGCTCGATCATTGTTATACTACACTAAGAAAAGGGGTGATTCTATATATAAATTCTCTGATTAAAACAGAATTTAATTCGTGTAAAAATACAACATAAGACATCTCTTGTACACGTGATTGATCTGTGTGCAAAGTTAAAAGGAGATATTAGACAGCTTTTGATGAGTGCTTCAGAAAGGAGGGAACACGAATCCACTTGATAGAAAGTACTAATTTCCTCAGGTGATTGCAGTAACGAAGCAAACCCTTTACATACCATACAGAACAGATCTTCTGCCTCATTTGGTCCTGCTCCCACACACTGAATGCCAAGTTTCACTGATGTGTCGTCTACTCTGTTTGCTTCTGGTACATATCCATGTGAAAACGGGTGCTTGCTGATTTCATTATATTCGCTTGGAATGCCATGCCGAGTCACAAGCCACAGTAAAACACAAAGAACCATTGTGGCTAACATCCATAACTTGAACTTCATAGTGACTTACTGGAAAGAGATACATGTTCGTGTGTTTAAGGTTATTTGAGTAATGCATTTTGTTGTTCTCATTGGAACATCTTGTGAACACGATAATTTTATTTCTGATTGTAATTTGACGAAACATGGAAGCAGTCATCCCACAACACCTTCAGCATTCATCACTGGAATTTGACAAAACATGAACTAAAGTGATATTATGAAACCGTAGGTGCTTATTTTATTGTTATTAGCTGCATAGGACTATACTGTACTGCATAAGTAATGTTCTCGGATGGATGTTTGATAAACTATCTTGGAACGTCTTTTCCGTTCACAAGGCGAAATTCCAATATATACAAAATATACAATTTTGTATACATGGTATTTCCAAAAATATACAATTTTGTATATTTGGAATTTCCAAAAATATACAATTTTGTATATATGGATTGATGATACCTCTGCTTCATTCAGTTTCTTTACACTGCAGACATTAATGCTCACAATATGTGGTTGCTATTGAAAATATTACTAAGAATACCGGACAGTATTATTGTATGTGACAAGTGTATACTATTGTCATTATGACAACTCTATTTGGAGTGTTATGAAATAATTTGTATTTATTTATGTTGACAGCATTTTACATAATAAAGAAATAGAACACTTGAGCAGACAGTTATATCAATAATATATATAATAAGTGCGCAATCTGTTTACAAATAAGATCTACATACAAGTCGTTCAGAGTAGTTTTAAACAATGATGGTAAAATAGATATATCATGAATATCGGCAAATATGAATATATACAATTTAATATAATTTACTTTTCGTTATTTACGCTATTTTTGGCATTAAATGTATGTCGTTATACATACGCATATAACTCTATTTGATGTGTAGCTATGTCGTTCAGATGTTAGGCAGTATTTTGTTCGCTCACAGTTTCCGTAAAGCTTCTAAATAAAATAAATCGCCGCACAGTACTTTTGTCAGTGTACGATAAAAAGCGGAGAAATTTACTGTTTTTCCTTGCAGAATAAATTCTCGGACAACACTTAGAAATGTCTTTTTTTTAAAAACAGGTTTAATATTTGCACTTAAATTTACACCATCAAATAGGAAATCTGATATTCCCCACCCCTGCGTAATTTTATAGCCAGAGGTAAATCCAGTGCCGCGTGAGCGCAATTCTCGCACAACCTTCACTTTTCCGATCTTAGGAAAATGTGCGTCAGAAAAATAACCTCAGCATCCAGAGGGTTAAAGAGGGAAAACTAAACATTTTGCGTTCTGTCTTCCCGATGTACTTTTCATTGCATCCACTACAAACAGTCAAGTAAATATCATTTCTAGTATCACAAGTCATATTTTGTTTTACAGTAAATATAGTGTCCTTTGTAATTTGGACTGAACAGCCTTCAATTCAATTGCTGCAAGTAAGGCAACGTTTGTCACCGCACTCAGAAACCTGTGGAGTGATGACAATAGAATGAAAATTTGAACTTGTCACAATCTTCAGATTCACCCCAGTGAGCTAGCACTATGAATCGGCATCAGTCCGGGCTAGTACAAGCTGACACACACACACACACACACACACACACACACACACACACACACACACACACACACACACACACACACACGTCATCTACAATCTTTGACATGAATAGTGAACATGAACAAAGGCGTTTCCCAAATTCAACAGCTGCTGTATACATAAACGTATATTGTATTGCATGGCTTCTCGCATGCAGTAACATCTACGGGCTTCGTGTCATCAATATATCAATAATGTGGTTCCTATTTTTTCCCCAGTCAATTTACACCCAAGTGCATCTTATAATTCAGCACTTCTGGTGAGGACGATGTTTGCCAAAGGACACATGTCAAGGTCAATGCCGTACTAATAACCTAGTGACGCACGTAACAACGACTGTCAATCTGTCTGCTACAGCTACCATACCATCATCCCTGTCACAACTGGCGTATTAACGGCTTATTCAAAATATTAATTGTAGAAAGTTCGTTAAGAGACTAACGTATGTCGTATAGAGTCATCTTATTTGATTAAAAAGTAAGTACGTCAACTGGGAATTCAACTGGATGTTACATTCCTTATATCAGCTAATAGCCCTGTTTGTGAAAATATGTACTAGACATAAGATTTAGAGACTAATAAAATCAATTGTATGACCGTATAGGCCATAAAACCGAATAAAATATGTCTTGGTATCGCCGCTTGTGTATTAGATGATGGTGATGACCTGAAATGTTATAACGTTAGATTAGGAAGGAGAAACATTAAAGTGTTTTATAATACTTAGGAACATGAGCAATAGGATGTAGCTACATTAACAGGCATGGAATGGAATAGGGAAAATGGTGAAAACAAATTGAAAGAGATTTTGATAAAACATTATTGTACTAAACAACTTACAAAAGCGGTGCCCAAAATTGTTTGACCGTGTTATGTGTGTTGTAGACTGACGACTAGCAAGTAATTGTCATGCTGTACGCATGGTTCCATATACAAATTCATACATTTGTATATACATCCGGTATGAAACTGAGAACTGAGATGCCAAGTATAACCTGTATTCACACACGGAAGCAATATACTTGTGTGTGTGCCCTCTCCACTGAAAAATGTATCACTAAAGTATTTGCATTGTAATGAATATAGTATTAATAAAACTTGGTAATTTGGTAGGTCTCCGACAGATATGATTTTCATTTTTTTACACCTTTGATTGATACGGATTAGGTATATGTAGTCTAGGCACTGTCGCTAATGTATCTGCTTGTTAGAAATTTCCAATGTCCTTTTATGGCACTGTTCCTAAAATAAGGCAGTTTTTTTTATCGGGTATAAATAGTTGATTCGTCTTGTCACGCAGTCATTTTTACTTGATCGAATGATTTCCACGAAACATTCCGGCAGAGAGTTTTGTATTTTATTATTTTCATGTATTGTTAATTGTAGAAGATGCTTACATCACTGTATCATAGAACGCAAAACTGATAACATTCAAACATGTTATTAGTACACAGTTAATTGTTACATATAATTTCCTGCATATTCCTTTTTGAACAAAAAGCCTACATGTATACTGTAACCGGTGTCCACTGTTAAAAGGTGCAGTCAGCCATGGTAAATGGAGAGACAATAATAAGTTGATTAATTATACTCTGTTGCAGAATATGCGGTAAAAGTGTAGTCATTTATACATATACACCTCACACATATACAGATGAAATACACGATATGCTACAGTGCAAGAACAAATTCCCTGAATTTTGAGAAAGGTCTGAGCATGGGACTGTTGATTTCTTCTTAATGATGTCTACAAGCTTACAAACTTGGAGATGTTGGGGCAGTTAGGACCAAACGTTTTCAGCTTAGAGTGCCACTCTTCCCAGTGTTAGTGGTCCTGGTACCCATAGTGTCAAACAGGTTCTGCACAATACGTCCATCAGATTATACTGTTGTGCAAAATAGTCAGAATTTCAGAACTCTGGCATGATCAAGGATTCCGAAGGTGAACGAGGGGAAAGGCAGACGCACGTGGATTTACTTTTAGGTTATTATTGTCTGGAGTTCACATTTTTGGGCATTTCAGACACTAATTTAACACCTGAGTTCACCTGCACATTTCCACTTTAGTCAGACAGACTGTAACCCAAAAATGCAATGAGCGGTAGCTCTTAATCCCTTATAACAACGACAGCAACAACCAGGGTGAGGGCACAGTAAGGTTAAACCGTGTCCACCAGACAATCTCAGGTGGCTAACGCATCAAGTCAGCTCTATTTTTCAGCGCATAATTAATGTTTTTACATTTTGAATAAAAGGAATTAAAAAAATCGTATTTAACAAACCTACACATTATCAAATACATGTACAAAACTTTATAACCCGTTCTAGACTTCGTTCCAATTGACCTGGATCATTCAACTCGCTCGCGAAGGTCGAAAGTCGTATACGACTTTAAAGTGAATACATCTACAGTGTACAGTGTAGTAATTTTAAATGTATCATATATATTCATGATAAGCAATTATTTTCGTTCCTAATTCGAATGAGCACATTCTGAGGCTAAATCTGCAATAGGACAGACAAAATATTTCTTTGTACAATGCAAACGATACAAACGTAGCGGCTGATAATAGAGGCAATGATTGAATAATCTGCAATATATCATTTATTCTCGTTCAATCTATTGTACATTTTGAAGTCAAGGAGTACTAAAATGTTGTGGTATTGTGAATGGATTTAGAATATGAATAGCGAAAAACAGTCACCATATCGGATGTACATGTATGACTTGTCTTCCAACACCACGCTTGTGCCGAGGCCCGTGGTCATAAAACTAATCGGTCCCATAAAAGGTCAACTAGTTTCTCAGATATCCCGCTGTACTTGCTATGGTTTACTCCCAATTGTCAGACGACCTAATCATCAGACAGACCAGTCAAGTGTGTCCAGTGTACCTGCCTGGTCTTACCTACTAATTACTGAGCTGCCCAATACTGTCATACTGTGGGCAGAGTAAGCTACTCCAATTCGTTGAGTGATACAGATTACCCAGATTATGATTGTATTTGTAAGTTGCGTTTAATCTGTGTCGGGTTGCGGGTGTTTTATTAGGCAAGACCAGGGGGGTGTCGGGCCGGGAAGTCGAAAATCTATTTACCAGTAGTACCGGAAAGGCGAATGGAGGGGTAAGGGACTGGGGACCGGGAAGGCGAATGAAAAGATCAGTGATGTGTACCCTCGTCATTACTTACTTACTTTGGAGATTTAACGTGCGCTTTCCGACTGATGCGTATTTCGCACACGGGCCCGGCCAGGCCATTTAATGTGTTTCCGAAAGGGGCGAAAGTGGTGTGTGCAACCCAAGAGGGGGGTTTTAGGGGTTGCTCATATAGAATTTGGGAATTTTGAGATTTGGAATAGATGCCGATGGGATTGGGGAGGAGAACTAAGGGAGCTGGGTATGGTGGATGTTTGTTTGTTTA